CAGGGAGGCTCAGGTGAGTCACTGTGTATACACATATATACATATACACATATATACATATACACATATACACCTACCTGGAGGTCTGCAGGGAGGCTCAGGTGAGTCACTGTGTATACACATATACACATATACACATATATACATATACACATATACACCTACCTGGATGTCTGCAGAGAGGCCAAGGTGAGAGGGGCTCTGTCACTGTGTATATATCATATATATAAAGATATGAACGTGGGTCTGCAGGAGCTGCAGCTGCCCGTGGTCGGCTCCCAGCTGGTGGGCCTGGTCCCCCTCAGAGCCATAATGGCCGCCGCTGACTTCTTCATCAACAGAGACGGGCTCTTCATCGTGGAGGAGGAGCACAAAGTCCGCCTGGTCAGTCCTCATCACTATATTACTTTATATTACTTTATATTATTTTATTCATTTTTTTCATTTTATTCATTTCAATCGTATTTATTTATTAATATTTATGTTATATTATATTTCTGTGTCAGGTGATCAGTAAACTCGGCCTGGACTCTCTCGCTCCGTTCAACCCCAAGGAGAGAATCATAGAGTGAGTATTTGTACACAGTACAGTATATTATACAGTATACAGAGTGGACCTGATGTGTTTACCTGTGCAGGTACATGGTGGGGGGGGGGGACAGCCCTCTGGTTTCTCTCTCTCTGAGGAACTTCGTTCAGAGCGTCGCTTCCAGAACTCCGGCTCCTGGGGGGGGGTCAGTGTCCGCTGCCATCGCTGCCATGGTAACTTATACATATACATATATATAAATACATGAATGCTCAGAGTGTAGTATATAAGTACTCAGAGTGTGGTTCCCCTCCCGGCCTCAGGGGGCGGCGCTGGCCTGCATGGTGGGTCAGATGTCGTACGGGAAGCGTCAGTTTGAGAGTCTGGACGGCGTCATGCGGCAACTCATTCCCCCGTTTCATAGCGCCGCCGCCGAGCTGCTAACGATGGTCGACCGCGACGCCTCGGCCTTCAGCAGCTACATGGTGAGAAACATCGTAACCCTACGATGTTTTTATTATACTAATAACACGCCTTCAGCAGCTACATGGTGAGAAACATCGTAACCCTACAATGTTTTGATTATACTAATAACACGCCTTCAGCAGCTACATGGTGAGAAACATCG